GGACAGCGCAGAGAGGGCACCCCCGGCTCTTTCCCGAGAAGCCACCTACCTCAGGACAGATGCCCTGGGTCTGGTTCATAGTGATAATCATGTTGGTCATGATAAAGATCGAGTCTTTCTCCTGCAAAGCGGGGTGAGAAGGGGGCACTGCTGTGTGATTCCTCAGGAGAGTCGAGCGACACCCACCAAGAAGGTCTCGCATTTATGCAACAGGGCAGTTTATGCAACAGGACGGTTTATACAGCAGGGCAGTTTATGTAATAGGACGGTTTACGTAATAGGACGGTTTATGTAATAGGATGGAGAAGAATACTCCCTTCTCCCATGTGCCACGCAGAAACAATTTAGACAACTAAACCTATGGTCTCCTTCTCTCCTATAAGAGTCTATAACCTAATTGAAAACAGAGCCTCCAACAGATACCTGTACATAGTGGTTAAGTGCTCGGCTCATAGCAGCACCATTCTCAACAGCCAAAAGGTAGAAACAACCCAAGTGTCCATCAACGGATGAATGGATAAGCAAAATGCGGTCCATCCATGTAATGGAATAGTATTCAGCCATAAAAAGGAATGAAATTCTGATACCTGCTACCACGTGGATGAACCCTGAGAACGTGATGCTGAGTGAAGAAGCCAGTCACAGAGCGCCACATACTGTATGATTGCATTTACACGAAATATCCAGAATAGGCCAATCCATAATCACAGAAAGGAGATTCATGGTTGCTGAGAGCTGCGGGGCTGGGGCAGTGGGGTGGAAAGGGGAGTGACTGCGAATGGGCATGAGGTTTCCTTTGGGGTAATGAAAACGCTTTGTGACTAGACAGTGCAGACTGGGTCACACAACACTGGGGATGCACTAACCACCAGGGAACTGTTCACTTTAAGATGGGTCATTTCCTGTTGTGTGAATTTCACCTCAGTTAAAAAAAAACTGAGTCTGTAACCTGACCTGTTCTTCAATAAAGCCTTCACTTGTTGAAGGAGAAGAGCCGAGGATTGCTGAAAACATCCTCTGCCAACCAGATTACCTCAGAGGTATAAAAACAAGAGGCCTCAAAGGTCTCAGATTTGGCTGGTTTTCTTTTCTAACTGGAATTAAAAAAGAAAAGTCTTGAGCGGACTCAACCAGGGCCAAGCATCATTTCTCCTTTTGGGAAGGTTCTGTTTGCTCCTAATAAGTATGAAGGTGCCAAATGATTGTTTTAGAGTCTCTGGAGGGCAATTCAATTGGGATGAGACTGAAGAACTGCAAATAATGACCTCCCACTATGAGGAATAAAGGAGAAAAATCAAACCTGTTGCTGTCAAGTTGATTCTGATTCATGACCGATCCTACAGGACAGAGGAGAACTGCCCCATAGGGTTTCCAAGGCTATAATCTTTACCGAAGCAGACTGCCACATCTTTCTCCCCCAGAGTGGCTGGTGGGTTTGAACCAGAGACCTTTTGGTTAGCAGCCGAGCGGTTAACCACTGTGCCACCAGGGCTCCTTAATGACCCCTCAATGTAAGGAATAAAGGACAAAGACCCCCAAAATTCAAGTTGGACTCTCATTTTAAAATGCAACGTCAGAAGCTCTCTCCCAGCACTTCATACTCCCGTGAAGAGTCTGGAGCCGTCAGGGGAATCAGAGTAACTGTGGAACCGAAGGGTCTGTAGACATCCCGGCCCCCACGTCTGACAAGATGGCAGAAGCCCTGGGAATAGCTGACATCTTTCAGAGAATGGCCTAGAACAAACCACATTGGAGATAGCCACAAGAAGAGGCATGAGAATGTGGCATGGGGCCCGAGTCTCTTTCCTAACACCCTGTCATATTCCCAGGTGTTCAATTAGTAAATGCACTCCCTATTTGGTGCTTCTAGAAGGCTGCTCCTAAGGCTCTCCTGAGTTAGACCCCAACAGTTCAGTATGGTCTACTTTCTGTTTCCTATCTCTAAGGCTTGGGGGAAATTCGTGAGCCAAGTAGATGTCTGGTTTCCAAACACATAGAGGCAGAAGGACATCATGAAAGCCCATGAAGAGCAGAGCCTCCTGGAACTCACCCAGCCCCAGCTCAGCTCTGCTATGGAAAGCAGACTTGCAGGATACTGTTTTCCACTGAAGGACAGAGCAGGGAGGCTCGTACCCTTCCTTGGTTCAAGTAAAGATCCAGTTGCCATTAAGTTGATTCTGACTCATGGCGACCCCGTGTGTCAGAGTGAAAATTGTGCTCCATAGGGTTTTCAATGGCTGATTTTTCAGAAGCAGATCACCAGGCCTTTCTTTCAAGGCACCTTTGGGAGAACGCAAACCTCCAACCTTTCAGTTGGCAGCCAAGTGTGTTAATAGCCGAGCGGCGACACTTTGCATCACCCAGGGACTCCCAAATAAACATACCGAGCGTGATATTCCCAGGGCCAGCCAGGACAAGGCCAGGCCTTCATAGGAAACAATGGTCTGCTAAGACAGGGCCATGTCAACAGGACCACCCAAGGCCAGCCAGCCACCTACCCCTGTTCCATTTGACCCCTGTCCATCATTAGCTTTCTCTTCTCTCTGGGCTCCCCCCAGACCTTTCTCTTGAGAAAGCAGGGGGAAATGAACTCAGGTGAAGAAAGGGAGAGTTTCTGAAGTCCTTGCTTTCCTTCACAGATCTCTGAGCCAAGGGGTGGCTCTGTCCCCCATC